AATGATGGAGATGGGCTCAGAGCTACAAGCAAAGAGACCTTCTCTGGGTTTTTTTTTCATTTCTGTTGTAATCGGGAAAATAGGATTGTGTACAGTGCCTGCAAGTAACCAAAGCTGGGTCAGTGTTACTGTGACTCCATCCTCAATGTATCTTCCTTTCTGAAATGACTCTCAAGGCCCTGAACTTTGGGTAATGCCTTGATTACAAAAGAGCCAAGAGCAGCAAGCTACCTGCACAGTTCGGCTACTTTGTTAGGCATGTACTTTGCCAGTGCTACGCTTCTGTGCAGTATGTTTTTACCTCCACTATGCAAAAAGGAAACAAGCAAGTCTGTTGAAATGTAGAGACTCTGTTACCTCCTGCTGCCTTATGAGGAACGCATCAATAAGACTTCGCTGGTCATTTCTGTCCAGTGTTTCGAGGTGTTTTGTGAAAGCAACCTCTGTAAAAGCATAAAACTCATCTCTGTTTTGGAGAAGAGTCTTGTGACCCTTCAGGAGAAAGCCAAGTGTTGGGAATAGATTATAGATCTAAAAACCAAAGGAAGTCAGAGACAGCAAAAATAAGTACTGAGAATACTTAACAAGAGGGTAACACATGCAGGTCAAAGGTCTGAAAAAACTTTACTAAAACACGTCAATGTTTTTATGCCCAATTTTCAGACTGGCTAACTGAGGTACAGGAAGCTTTGTTGGGGCTTCCAACAGCTCATAACTTAAACCCTACCTCCTCATACACTCAGCTTGCCATATCTAGCTGGCACAGGAGGGAAGCAATAACTGGAAGACTACTCTCTACCCTGTTTCTGCTATGTGCAAGCATGTCACCAGCAAATATATATTTGGTATGACATGAACAAGTGAGATTGGGTCTAATTTTGCTACAAATGCAGCACTTTGAATAATGTAAACCTAGCATCCTTGCTCTTTTCTGGGTACAAGTGAACTGCACAGCTGAGTACTCGGGAACTTGTCCATGCCACCTCTGTTCTGACCTTGGGAGCGCTGCGTGAGAAGAATATCTCACATGGGCTCCAGCTCCACGTGCCAGAGAGCTCGGGAGTAGCCTAGGGCATGCGCTCAGGACTGTTCTGAGGCAACGACATCACCGTATTTCCAGGATTTGGTGCTTGCTGAGCAGGAGTGAGTGTTTGGTGTGCACGTCCCAGTGGGCATCCCAGGTTAGGTGCAGAGGCTGTGTAAGCAGATCCACTCCTGTGCTGCTGGCTGGAGTTAGTTGAATCTTTAGGTGTCAAGTTTAAGATTAAATTCTTAATCTCATTTCATTCTTTCAAGGACTTGGAGAAGAGCCCTTGATGCCTGAAAGCCAAGAGATCTCCTGATGCCAAGAGATTTTCCAACTATACAGTTGGTCCAGTAAAATATACCACAAAAAATCCTGCCCCCCTGATCACTTCTCAACACACTCCATCAGGAACAGCTAACAGAAATCTAAGTTCAGTGCCACAAAATCAGGGCTTGTGTGCCATAGCATTGTGATCTCTTGTCAGAGATACCTGGGAAGGATCCAAATTTATTGGGATGTAACTTAGCCATTGTGAGAGACCATGTCATGTATCTGAGGGTGAGGGAATACCTCTTTGGTGCCCATGGTGCTTGAATGCAGTAAGCGACATGGGAAGAGCAGACAGAAGATGTGGCGGGTTCCCAGATAGGACCAGTTAAGAGCAACCAGGTATGTTATGGAGCAGGGGAGTCAAACTCATTGGCCCTGCATGATGGACCCTGCAAGATGTGCAGCTTCTCACAGCCCAGATCTGGACTGCAGGGCTTCCTGTGGGCTGGACAACCCATGAGCAGCCCCCTTGGCAATGTGAATCCGCACAGGGAGCTAAGACCACTGGTGATCATCTCCCTCTTTTCCCCTGTCACCAATCTTAGTTGCCAAGGGAAACTAAAATCCCTGATTTTGGTGGTGGGTGAAGGGATAGGGGAAGGTGAGTGTCAAACAAACTTGATCTTCTTTGACAAAGTAACTAGCTGAGTGGATGGAGGGAATGCAATAAGTGTAGTGAAAACACCGATTAGTATCGGGTATCCAGGTTGTTGCCGTATTGGTCTAGAGGAAAAGGCAATCAGGTCTCATAATAGAGGTGATAGCTTTTATTAGACCAACAAGATTTTTGCAAAAAAAAAATCTTTCATTGCAAGCTTTTGGGCACAAACACCCTTCATTGGGCATTGGAGAAAAAATTGTAAAAGTTCTCCTGGGTAGAAATGATTAGTATCTGGTCTAGCAAGGCTTTTGACAAAGTCCCACATGACTTTCTCATATACAAATGGGAGAAATGTGGGCTAGCTAAAATGACTACAAGGTGGATAGACACCTAGCTGAACAGCCACAAGCAAGGTGTAATTACAAATGGATCCACGCCGGAATAGCAGGAGGTTTCGAGTGGAGTCCCCAAAGGGTAAGTCTTGGGCTTGGTGCTGTTCAACTTCTTTGTTACTGGCTTGAACGCTAGAATAGAGAGCTGGGAAGCACAACAAACACACTGGAGGACGGGAGCACAGAAGGAGCTAGATGGATTGGAAATCTGGCTAAAGCCAACAGGATGAAGTTCATTTCTGACAAATATCAGGTGCTACACTTCGGAAAGAATAATCAAAAACACAAAAACAAGCTGGGTGAAAACTGACTGGATGGCAGCACTGTAGAGAAGGATCTGAGTTTTGGTGGATCACAGACTCCATATGAGTCTGGAGCGTGACCCAGCTGTGCAAAAGGTGAATGTGGCTTTGGGATGCATCAACAGAAGCATCAGGTGCATGACACAGCAGGCACATCTACATGTGATGCTACGTTGCTGTAGCAACATGCTATGGCGACATAGTGGGCAAAAACCATGCTGCTACCACTATGATGCCATAGTGATGTGCTTCCTCAATACAGTGCATTTTTAGGACGATGTAGAAGCTCAAAATAACTACGCAGTGTGCATGGCACAGTATGGGCTGTTACTTCACCGTCATCTAGTACTTCCAAAAAGAAGTACTAAACGATGGTGCAGTAACAACAGCAGCATAGGGATACCTGTCGACACACCCAGCATGTAATAGTGCCTCTTAATTCAGCACCGGTTAGGCCTCATCTAGAAGTGTGTGCAGTTGTAGGCTCCTCATTTTTAAAAGGATGTGGAAAAGTTGGAAAACGCTCTAGAAGCGGGAGACAAAAACGATACTGGACATGGAAGGCAACCATCTGAGGAGAGGTTGAAAGAAATGGGCATGTTCAGATTGCAGAAGAGGTGCTTAAGAAAGGACATGACAGCAGTCTTCAAATACCTGAAGGGCTGCCATAAAGAGGAGGGAGAAAACCGTTTTTTTTTTGTTTTTGCACTGTTGCAGAGAGCAGGACACACACCAGTAGCTTGAAGCTGCAATAAAGCAGTTCTGATGGGATACAGGAAACACATCTCCACTGTTAGAGCAGCGAGGAAGTGGAATAGGCCGCCTAGGGAAGCTGTGGGATCCTCACGATGGGAGGTTTCCAAGCAGTGCAGAGGTGATCTAGGATTAGGTGTGTGATGATGTAGTACACCTGGAGTGCTCTGTGAAAAGCAACCCTTTTCACAGAGAAGTCCAGGTGCTCCTCCACTAAAATGACTGGGAAATAAGAGGAGCTCTACAGCCCAGAGCAGATGCATATTGGAGTGCATCATGCTCAGCAGCCAGAGAATGAAACAACTTCACAACCAGCTTAGTTATGAAGGAAGATTAAAGGAGCTGGGATAAATCTGTGCAGAGGATACAGGAAGAGGAGCTCTGGCTGCCCAGTTACAGGTTATGTTGTGTGAGTTGTACGTACTGCCCCCGGGCTGCAGAGCACAATGGAGGGGTTTGCTTTTTCTCACTTCTGAGCTTTGCTGTTTCTCTTATGGGGCTGGGAAATAATTTTTTCCTCCTCTGGCTGCTAGAGGTGCAGGTGTCATTTTTTTCTTTTTTGCCTTCCTCAGAAGTATTGGGTGTTGGCTGCAGCCCAGGCTGGGGTGTATCAATGCTCCTACTAGGACTAAGACCTGGAGGTTCCTGATTTCTTCACCCTCCTGACTACACTACTGAGACTAATTTCCCAAAGAAGGGTCTTGCCCCACTGTCCAAGGTCAGGCGGATCACCACATTTGGGAGCAGGAAGGACTTTTTCATCACAGACAGATTGGTATGGACTGTGGAGAAATTTGGCTTCCTTTATAGTGGGAAGCAGGGCCGTCTTTCTTGGATCACTCAAATGTGCTTTTAAAAACGTTTGCAGTGGGAATAGGTTAGAAAAGGACTCATATAGGTGGTTTGGAGAGGGACGATCCTGCCTTGAGCAGGGGGTTGGACTAGATGACCTCCAAAGGTCCCGTCCAGGCCTATTTTTCTATGATTTTATACTTCTGCAGCCACTGACAGAGTTGGCAGCCCCATGGGCTGAACTCAGTCCACAAGGGTGGGTGGTCCAGCCTACAAGAAGGCCCATGAGCTGGATGTTTGATACTCCTGTTGTAGAGGAACAATCAGTGGCATAACTAATGACCTTCATACTCTAGGCAAAACTTCCCTGTCCAGGGGTGGGGAGAGATGCTCAGGTCTAGAGAACAGGGTATCTGCTTGTAACCCTCTTGCCCCCTAGTTACAGTACTGGAAACAATGTCTGAAATTGTTGGCTTCAAGAATCCTGCCTCCCTCCACAAACCTTGTTCTGCCTGGATGAGCCAGGTGATTAAAAGGATACTGAACAGCTGAGAGGCACATTAGAAGAGCAAGGGGTTGTTATTTATTGTGGTGTATGCATCACTTGAGGGTAGCTGTTTGGGAAGGCAGGCTGCCACAGACAGGATCCAAGGAGAGCTGGAAGAAAATTTGGAGTTCTCTGATCCAGGGAATTGTGACTCTGGGTGCATCAAAAAGGATGGAGCTGGACTGTTCTCAGAGGTGACGGATGACAGAACAAGAAGCAATGGGCTCAAGTTGCAGCAAGGGAAGTTTAGGTTGGATATTAGGAAGAACTTTCTCACCAGGAGGGCAGTAAAACACTTGAACAGGTTGCCCAGAGAGGTGGTGGAAGCTCCATCCTTGGAGGTTTTTAAGAACTGGCTAGACAAACTTTGGCTGGGATGATCTAGTTGGGAATGGTCCTCCTTTGAGCAGGGGGTTGGACTAGATGAACTCCTGAGATCACTTCCAAACCTCATTTTCTATGATTCTATGGTCTATATGAGATGTTTATTGCAGAGTTGCCTAATTAACTCCACGGTAAAGTCTTAGCATCTACATGTGCATCCCTATTAGGCCTCAGTAAGCTAATTAACTCAACTGTAGGCATTGGTGACGTG